TGATTTGGGACAAAAGGGTGTCAGCAAAGGTCAAAGGAAAGGTTTCAAAGAGAGCAATGAGTCCAGCTATGTTGTATGGTCTGGAGACAGAGACATGGACAAAAAGACAGGAGGAAGAACTGGAAGTGGCAGAAATGAAGATGTTGAGGTTCTCCTTAGGAGAGACAAGGATGGAGAAGATCAGGAATGAGATCATCAGAGGTACAGCACAGGTTGAACAACTGGGAGATAAAGTTAGAGAGGACACACTGAGATGGTTTAGACTTGTCCAGAGGAGGGACAGTGGTTTGGACACGTCCAGAGGAGGGACAGTGGGTATATTGGTAGAAGGATGCTAGAAATTCAGCTGCAAGGAAAAAGACAAAAAGATCCATGGATGCAGTTAGAGAGGACATGGTGGTAGTTGGAGTGAGGACAGAGGACAGAGTGAGATGGGGGAGGACTCGCTGTGGCCACCCCTGAAGGGGAACAGCCAAAAGAAGAAGAAGAAGCAGCAGCTTATCGAAGACCTCGGGTCATTTGGACCCAATGACAACAGAAGGGTTCAAACAACTAAAACCTCTGAAAGTCCTCAGGGATCCATGTGAACCTTGTTCTGCATCACACAGAAGCTCGTGGTTGTTTTCAAGTGCAAATAGAGGCAGCAGCAGCTAGCTGTAGCACCTCCAGCAAGAATAGACTTCTGCCAAAACTACCAAGAGGGTTCTCAAGAACTGCTGTGGAAGTTTGGAGACTGGGAGCGTCCCTCGGGAGGTTTCCTGGACATGTCCAGCAGGGAAGAGACAAAGACCCAGAATTTGGTGGAGGGATTCTGTATTCTCTCTGGCCTGGGAACACCTTGAGGTCCCCCAGGAGCTGGAGAGTGTTGCTGGGGAGACCAGGGTCTGTTTTTCTCTGTTGCCTCCGCGACCCAACTACGAATACGTGGTAGAAGATACCATTTGTTCTTCAGTATGGTCATTAGTAAACCCTATTCCTGGTTCAAAAGGCCGTCTACGATAAGTACGATACGATTTGTTCACAACTTTCCACATGACTTCACTTCAAACGAGCTAAACTGTCCTTTTACCATCAGTTTCGCTTTAGATCACTTTGACCATAACCTGACGATGAAACACTGCGTGAGTGGCTATGAATAGTATGAGTTGGATAAAACGGTGCATAATGTCTTCGTAGCTCTGTTTAGTTTAGAATAAAAGTATAAATGTGCACGTTTTGAGTCGCACCAGTAACAATTAATGAAGGACGCTCAGCTCGAGTGTCAGTAAACTCCGTCCTGGGATCAACGGAACTCTGTGGGCAACATTTCTTTACCAAATATGCTGCTGAGGCAGAACAGAGCCGTTACTGTCCCAGTGTACCGTTAGCTCCGGAGGTTTACAGCTCACCTGTTGTGTGTTCTCGTCTTTAAAGCTACCTCATTTGCATTTGGGCTTCTTTTTTTTTTATCAGATTGAGACTCGGCAAACTAAACTGATTCATTGTTTTCACGGAGGACAACCACACCTGCCTCAGGGGCCACCTGAGCACACTCATCTGCGCGCCTTTAACGAAGCGCTGTTGGTTTCTCTTTCTGTCGCTTGCTTTCTTTGGCGTTTTGTTCTGCTCGTGCACACATATCACACACACACTCTGACATCCAGCCCTGCGGAGGTGGATTGTTTGAGGAAGGTACAGAGCTGGTGCTGCAAGACTGTCTGGTTGGACAAGTCTAACTGTAAAGGGGATGTCTTTGTATACGTTTCTGTGTGAGTGTTCCTAGGCATGTGTGTGCGTGCAAAACAAGTCGCACTTAACAATAGGCCAAACAGGAGCACGCCCTAACACATGAATGCATATATTTAATTCTGCGCGTTTGCTAATTGAGTGATTGTGCAAATATGAAACGTTTGTTGTGTAACTCTGTAATACAATAATTTTCTCCCTCGGTGGTTGTTCAAGATAACTCTAATCCACATCTGCTACAGAAGCTCGTTTAGCAATCAGAATGATTGGGCAATTAAATAACTGTCTTTTAAAAGAGCATCCCACTGTTTTAGATAAATTCAAACATTTTTAGGTAGAAATCAAACATTCTTTGTTGGGCTCTCTTTCAAACATTTTACTTCTGAATCAGCGTGGAAATGAACAATCTAAATGTAGATTTCCATTAAAAGAGTGTAATTACGTAGGAGATGGATACCTTTTTGCTTGTGTTGATTAGCAACAACAAATGACATCTAACAATGAGTCAGGTCCACTGGACAGATAAAAATAAAAATATTAAAAACTTGGTGAAACGTTTCGTTTTTTATCCAAAAGTCTTTTTGTCAATCATGACGAACAACATGTCGTCAGCAAACAGCATCACATTTTTTGTATTTTTATGGAAATTAGATGGATAAACACAAATGTTTCTAGTATATACCAGTGGCCGGTGCTTAATTTGAGCCGGATCCTACCGGAACAAGACCGGGTGCGTTCTGGCAACTGTATGCTCGGATCCGGCAATTCAAATCGCCGCCCCTTAAAAGTCCAAAGTCATCACACATTTTTATTTTATTATTTATTAAAAATACAATGAGAGGAGACGTTGCCCAGTCTGTGGAGTGGATATTATAGACAACTAGCTTGCGTAGCTTTAGCAGCTAATGTTAGCAGTGCAGCGCTGGATTCTAATGATGAAACTGGAAAATCTTAAGAATATGGGGAAAAATGTAGAAACAGTTACGAAATGTAACATTACAGCAAATACAGTAGCCCCTCGCTACTTCGCAGTTCGACTTTCGCAGACTCACGGTTTCACGGGTTTTCATCGGAAAATATACACAAAACACGATTGGCTGATTGATGGATGGCGACCAACCAGAGCACTGTGCTCTGTGTCCCGGGCACTGATTGGCTCAGTAACTGTAGCATCAGTCTGTCTGCTCTCTTTTGCTGTGCTCTTTAAGGACCAGGCAGCCCGGTCCCCATCCGGGGACTGTACCTCCAGTGTCCGTATGTCCTTGCCCACCCTCCTTCCCTCCCTGTCCACACAACTCTGGGCGCGCATCTGGGGGCGCCTTCTCCCGTTGAGGGCATGGCTGCCTGTGGAGACCTTCCTCCGCGCTGCCCGTGTCCTTGCACTGGTCTCCCTGGGACCGTTGGAGGAGACCACGTCTAGCAGGTGAAGGAGGGTGGAGGTCACCATGCAGGCAACGTGTTAGCCCTCCAGACGTGCCCCTGCCGCCGCACTCCGATGCCTGACAACTCGAGCTCTTTCCCGGTGCAACGCTTGCTATATCAAGAAGGACGATATATCCTATTGCGGGGGTGTCTGGAACGTAACCCCCACAATAAGTGAGGGACTACTGTATTGTAGAAGACAGTAGTCCCTCACTTATCGCAGGGGCTACATGGTAAAAGTTTGTTCTGATTCGTTGAAAAAAGTTTCAAAACTCTAAGCAAAGCTACATATCTAGCTTGCGCAGCTTTAGCAGCTAATGCTAGCAGTGCAGCAATGGCTACCGATGATGAAAATGTGGAAATTCTTTGAAATATTAAAAAGGATTGGGTATATATGAACTCAAAGCACAAATTGAAATAGTTTAACCACAAAATCCAAAGTAAAATTTAATATGAGTCAAATTATCAGAAATGTTTCATTTGACTCCTAGCTTAGTTGTGTTAGCCATGGATAACTACCAAAATCGTTTTAGTTTTTAAACCTTTATACTACACAGTATGAAAAATACAGCCAAAAAGGCCTTTTTATATAATTACATGGTTTATCATTTAAACAAGTATTAAAAAATTACAATTACACGTTTAAATGTCATTAAAAACGTCTACAATCCGATAACTACAATTTGATGACAAATTTTATATCAGCTCGTGTCTCTTTTCCATATTGTCTCATAAACATACAGAAAAATATCCTGAATGAAACTAGCGTTAGTAGAATAAACGCACGTTGTAAACAAAGATGTCGGGAATATTACTTCTTGAAGTTTGTATCGGGGATAACTCCCAGATACTACCATGCCAAAATTTATCTCATTATCTGTGAAACTGACAGAGATAAAGTTATATTTGTGTTTTTTAAGGTCGGTGAGATGTGGGGGCCATTTTGAATTTGGTTAACAGTTAATCAGTTGATGTGAACCCAAAGATTACTTCCTGAGTGTTTCACTGAAACTTGTCCAGTAGTTCATGAGACATTTTGGTAATTGATAGACAAACACTTGTAAAGAGAAGCACTTGCTTGATTTCCCACCTTTTATGGCATTGAGAGATAATTGGCTCACGCCTCCCTTTGATTCATCCGTCCATTGTCTTCTTCTTGTTCTGGAGTTCGGTCTCTGGCTCAGCATCTTGAGCAGGGAGGTCCAGACATACAGTATCTTTCCTCAGCCACCTTCTGTTCTGGGAGGACTCCAAGGCGTTCCCAGGCCGTCCAGGAAACAGCACGTCCTTCTCTGGTGTCTCCTCCCGGTTGGATGTCCCCAGAAAACCTCCCTAGGGAGGCGTCCAGGGAGCATTCTTAACAGATGCCCGTACCACCTCAACTGGCTCTTCTCGATGTGGAGGACCCTGTAGAAGAAACTCGTTTCAACAGCCTGTATCCACGAGCTCATTCTTTCAGCCACTACCCAGAGTTTGTGGACAGAGGTGAGGGTAGGAACGTAGATCGACCGGTACACGGAGACTACGGCTCAACTCCCTCTTCACCTCAACGGACCAGCTCAGAGTACGCTAGCCACACGATCCATCTGTCACTCTCAAGCTTTATTTTTCCCTCATTCGTGAACAGAATAGTTCGATAGTTTTGGAACAACAAATTCACCTTTCACCATCTGCTCACTGCAAACCAGCCAAACGACATCTTGGAGTCTGATTTGTCTCCTCAGGACCGAGTGGAGACTTAAATCAGGGCCAGCTCAGATGATCGTAGGAATCTTGCTTTCAGTCATTAGTTTTTGTATTTTATCAGTAGATCGTGGTCACATCATGACGACTGTTCCTTCTTCTCCTTCCAGTTTCCATTTTCCCTCCCGCGGTCCTGACGATGGAAGCCGAGGCCAGTCCTGCGGAGACTCTTCCCCTCTGCCTCACCAAACGCTCGGTGTTGGACGCTCACGCCGAGCTGCCGTCCAGCACCGTGCTCGGAGAACCCCGCAGCCCGGCCGGTTCGCTGGAGGGGAGGTCGGACATCAGGAGGAGGTCGCAGGGCGGCTCCTTGTACGTTCGATCCAAAATTAAGGTAAGGAACTCGTCGAGACGTCTGCAGGCAACATAAACGTGTAAACTCGTGTACAAAGCAACTTTAAATGGAGGAAGTTTGAGCCTGACGACGTTAAAAAATAACTCGTATTTCTCTCTGTCACAGGTGACGACCGGTGAGTTACCTCCTGATCCCGCTCCTCTCCTGCAAGCTCCTCCCCCTGTTTCTGACCCCCCACCTTCAGCCGCACCGGCCTCTGTCATGACGGCTACCACACCGCCGCCCCCCTCGGAGGCGGTCTCCATGGTAACCACATCGCCAGGTCAAAGTCAAAGCACGACAACAGCAACAACAGGGGGATTTGTGTGCCAGGTATGACTCACCGACCGGTTCAAGGGATCCGTTTTGACTAAAATATATATATTTGTTTTATTATATGCCAGTAAAATAAAATGGGGAAAATATAACAACATGTTTCCAAAACTAGTCTAAATTCAGTGCTTTTAAATCAAATATACCAGCTTCAAAACTCATGTGAGTTTAAACGTAGAGTAAAATGTCCCGGCCGTGTTTCAGATCTGCCAGAAGACCTTCCAGTTCCAGCGGATGTTGAACCGACACGTGAAGTGCCACAACGAGACCAAGAGGCATCTGTGCAGCTTCTGCGGCAAAGGCTTCAACGACACCTTCGACCTCAAGAGACACGTGCGCACACATACAGGTATTCACTCCCGTGCGCTGTTTTTGTTTTGTCTTCTTACACTAGCCGTCATCAATGTGCTAAAATTACAAATTGGTTTCACTCACAAAATATTTGTGCTCAGGGTTTTAGTGTTTTACTTTGAAATATCGAAGCTGCTGTGATTTATATTCAAACTTAACAACAAACTTTTTAAATGTAGCTTTAGTTCACGTTTTTGTAATAATTTCTCAAGCTCGGCTCGGACGCTTTGCATTAGCGTCATCAAAATATCTAAAGGCATTTTCAACAAGTCCGAAAACTTCATTATTGAACGGCGGACATTAGCATTAGCCGGCTGTTTCTGCTAACGTCAGCTAAAGTAACAACTGACCGTTACGCTGTGACTTTCTCAGGTATTATGTTAAAGGTATAAAGTTAAAGCACCATTACAAAATGAAGGAGTGTTGAATTTAAACACAGCCAGAGAAGGACAAGAAAAGCTAACCGACTAGCTTGCGCAGCTTTAACAGCTATTGCTAATTACAAAAATAGGTAGAAAATATGTATAATAATAATAATTTTACAGTATTAAAGTGCTTTATTCATAAAACACTAATTAAAATTATAAATGAAATACCGGAGCAGAAAAACAAAGTATTTGTGTAATTTAGTTTGGTAAAGTGCATGCTAGCCTAAGCTAAAAACACAGTTAGTCTAATTAGTAGTTCAATAAACATTTTTAATTCCATGCCAGTTGCAAAACGTTGTCTTGTTAGCAATGATGCCCCAATTTAATGTTTCCACAGCTCAGAAAAATAAATATTTGACCTCAGTACTAGATTGCACATTTTTAGCAGCTAATGCCGCTAATGACAAAAATGGGTGGAAACTCTTAGTAAAGTGGAAAATATATATATAACTTATGGTCAGTTTACTGGATTACTTTATCTGTTTATCCCCAAGTAAAACTGTAAATGATCACATCAACAGAAAAATATACGTTTGCGTTCTTTAGTTTGCTAACATTAATGCTAGCCCGAGCTAAAATAATATTTATATATATATATATATATATATATATATATCCTTGGAAGCACAGAAATAAGTTAACATTTTATGTTGGTTGTCAAATCTGTGTTAAGGTAATACTGAGTAGCGTTGCACTTTTTAAAATATTTGTTCACAGTAAACAATTTTTTCACATAAACTTCTGATTAATGTTTAGCAGCTAATGCTAGCAGCTAATGCTGGCAGCTAATGCTAGCAGCGTAGCAGAGAACAGACAAAAATGGGTGGAAGATATTTAGAAAATGTAAAATAAATATAATCTAAAATTACTTTATTTATAAAACTGGGGAGTGGTGGCGCAGATTAGAGAAGGTGAGTCTGTGGTCGGAAGGTCGCCGGTTCAACTCCCTGTACCAACAACATCAAAATGTAGGTGGGATAGATGAAACACCCACACCTGCCTCCACCCTCATTTGCTCCACTTTGGACCCTTGAGCAAGGCCCTGAACCCCCACCATCTGCTCCCCTGGGCGCCCTACATGGCAGCTCTGCTCCACATGGAGGCCGTGGCAGCTCGGTGGTCTGTGGTTGAGTGTGCGAGTTAGTTCACTGTGGTGACCCCTGAAGAAGAAGAATATAACTTTATCTGTAAAACTATGTAAAACTGGTTATAAAACTCATCAGCAGACAAAAACTTTAATTTTTCTACTTTAGCTTGGTAACGGGACTGTTAGCCTAAGCTGAAATCAAAGACGATGTTTTTAGAAGCAAAAAAAAAAACAAGTTGTATTTCGTGACGTCCACGTTAGTGCTGATGAATGATTTCAATGTTTTTCCCGCACAACCAACCGCTGACGTGTTTGAAAATGTCTCGTCCAGGCGTCCGTCCGTACAAGTGCACGCTCTGCGACAAGGCCTTCACCCAGCGCTGCTCCCTGGAGTCCCACATGAAGAAGATCCACAGCGTCACGCTCAAGTACGCCTACAAGGAGCGGCGCAACAAGCTGTACGTCTGCGAGGAGTGCGGCCACACGGCGGCCACCCAGGACGAGCTGCTGCTGCACCTGCACACGCTGCACCCCCACAGTCCCCTGCTGAAGGGGAAAGCCGCGAGGAAGGCGGGGGGTGCCGGCGGACTCATGCCGGGCTCTCCGCAGGAAGGCGACAGCGACGACACCAACGGGTCGATCGGGCAGTAGAACTTCAGAATAAACTCTGACGGGACGGACGTCAACTCTTGCACAGCAACGTCAAATCTACGATGTTTACTGTAAATATGTGGATATTTATGGGTTTCTACTGTATGACGGATATTAATAAGGCTGACTGCCATGAGCCAAAACATTATGACCCTTTCTGGCGGTGCTCAAACATCTGTTGTCCTTTATTGTCGTCTGCAACAGATGTTGTCAGGTTTTAAATTTGGAGCCACCTCAAAACATGAGATTACTTTTTTTTTTAAAGACAATTCTTGTTTGATGATGTTTTCTTCAGTGCAGTGGTCATTATGTTTTGGCTCATCTTATGTTTCTTTGTGGGACTGTATTACCTGTGGGTTTCTCTGTACAGCAGAATATATATATATGTATATACATATATATATATATATATGTTTTTCTATGGAAGTAATTCATTAAAGGGAGTAATATATGACACTAACTGGACTAATTGTTTTATTTATTTAAAAAAAAAACTTATCACTCCTGCTGCTTTATTGAGTCCTGACACTGAGACTTTAGGGTCAGAATTTGAGTTCTTGTATGTAATTTGGGTCAGAAACTGGTCTCATGGGTCATTTGGGTCAGAATTTGAGGTCTCATGGGTCATTTGGTTCAGAATTTGAGGTCTCATGGGTCATTTGGGTCAGAATTTGAGGTCTTGTGGGTCATTTTGACCCAAAGGCAGCAGGAAGTTAACATGAAACTATCATCCCTTGAAGGAATGTGTATCGCCTGTTTGCATGGCATAAAAAAAACAACTCGTGATTTATTAGCAATTTTACTTCTGTAACATAGTTCAAGTGATTTAAAGGGGGCTCTGAGGAAAAGTTACGAACATGTAATGTTTCAAGTCACTTGGAGGATCTCCTCCAGCAGTGAGTCAGAAGGTTTCCACAAGCAGCCGTCGTTTCAACACCACGTCTGTTGGAGCGGGATTACCGCGGTGGCCACACGCTCCTGTTTGAGGCCGTGTTTGAAGCCAGTAATTACATATTTTTAACAACAAAAAGTCTTGAGACAATAACTCAAGCAGTTCACACCCGTGTTTGGAGCGTCTGATAATTGAGCCATCATTTAAAAAAGCTGAGAAGTAGCAGTTAAAGAACAAAAACAAAAACTGGAAAACTTTTTTTAAGCAAACATTAAAATAAAACAGATATCATCAACGTAAAGATGAACAAAACAACCCCGTTAACTTCCACTGTCCAAAATTGACACCAAAATGTCAATTTTCTTAGGAGCTGCCATTTAAAACAAAAGTCCCGCCTACACAGCCTCCTAATTCGCTAACAGGCTGTCAATCATAGTGCAACGGGACAATTTTATTTAAACTGCAACAAACTGAAACCACGTATATTTGAAGATACAGCAGCAAAGTAAGAGCTACGTCAAAAATCAACACCTGAGAAAAAATAATAGTATAAAAAAGTGTGTTTTGCTTTTTTTTAGCCAAAATAATAAAAGTCCCGTTCATTTAAGTCAAGGGGCGGGGCTTAAAAGATGTACTACAGCTAGCCACCAGTTTAGACATATTTACGATAATTATCATATTCAATAGTTTGAGTCAAAGTTTTTCCTCACTTGCTCTGGTACGAGGTGGACACGTTCTCTTCCCTCTCCTGTTCTCCTCCTGCTTTTTGTTCTCTGCGTATGGGAGCTCCTATTTTTACACATCTTCCGAAATGAAAATTACTGTTATGAATCTGACCAACTGGACTTTTCGACGCAATCAACAAAATCTTTTCAACAAAGCGACAGGGTCCTGGAGAGCCCTCATGTCTGCCCGGACGACACGCATGCAGCTGGATATGTCTCTGGGGACGTGGAATGTGATATGTTTATCTCTGCTGTCGATCAAGGACGCCGAAATTGCATATAATTGTATTTATGATAACAGGTTTCCTGTTTTTGGAATAGTCTGGTTCCTGGTTTAGCAACATACAAAGAAGACGGCCGCTAGGCTGGCCTGGTCAGGCTGCCGCATATGTGAAGGTTTGGTTTGTGCTTTGAGGACTCAAAATCAGCTGATTTACGAGCTAAACCGTAAGATGGAAGTGATTTGTGAGAATCGCAGGCCACCTGTGGCTTTGGGACACGCCAGCATAAAACGACCTTGGAGGGGCTCGTAAGCACGGACCAGTAGAATGCACCCTTATCTGGCCATTTCAGATCTTGAAGGTACCAGTAAGACTCAAGGCTGACAAGAAAAATAGTCTGCTTGAATAAATCAACAATTGTGTCTTATCTGAATCTGACTACCCTGTTGGCTTCGAAAACAGGCCGACATATCAATTTCTCCTGGGAAATGTGTAAACTAAGGAAAAGCTTCATCTATCCCCTACTTCCAAAGTCATCCCAAAGATCCAGTCCCCCGGCACAAACAGAGCAATGTTGTGTATGCTGTTCAGTGTCAGGAGGGCTGTGATCAGTCTTACATCGGGGAAACTAAACAGCCACTGGCCAAAAGGATGGCCCAGCACAGAAGATCAACATCATCAGGCCAGGACTCTGCGGTCTACACTCATCTCC